ACAATGTGTGAAAGAAAGCAGATATGTGAGGTCGAGGGGTACATAGGCAGATCCCAAAGGACTCGGTGAGCTTGAGATAGGAGTTTGGAAGTCATTGCAGGATGTTCAGCAGAATGATGTCATGGTATGATTTATGTTGCTAAAAGATCATCTGGCTTATGTCTAAAAAATAGATTATGGGGCAGCATCAGAAGGAAGACCAAGCTATTTGCAAGGCTAGTGTAAATATGCAGCCAGAAAAGGGCCATGGACAAGGATAACAGAAATAAACTGATCATACATGGAGACCAAGTTTCATTGTAGATAGAATTAATTTACATGGATTTCTTGGTCACAAGAAGAGATTTCAAGGACGACTGAGACTTGGAGACTTAACAACTGAGTGCATAAGCTCCAAACAGACACAGAATACTGAGAATTGCAGATTTAGGAGGATGGAAGAACTGAGAGTCTGGTTTACACAATGTGAGGTTTGAGAGGATGAAAACATAGTAAATTGGACTCATGAGGTGGCCTATTTAGCTATAAAGACAACCAGCAATGTGTTGTGTGTACATTTTACAAAATAAAGGCATAAGATAATACATTTTAAGAAGGAAGTGTTCTAAGAGCCACATGTCCCCACGTTATTAGGGTAAGACCTGAAAAGGCACCACTGGAGTGATGACACGGAGGCCAAAGGCATCATTAAGAGGAGCACTGTCTATAGAGTGTTCAGGATTCAAGTCATCTTGCATTGAGTTCAGGGGAAAAGCTGAGGTGACAAGTGGAGACACTGACTTCTAGTGTTTGGCTGTGAATCCTCTTCACTGAAAGATTGTCTTGAGAGAACAGGGCTGAAGCTGGAAATGAACATGGGCCAAGGACCATTTCTTTGTGATGGGAGAAAATATGATCATGATATTTTGACAAAATGATCTAGTAGAACGAAAATCTTGAAGATGTTTTAACAGAAAAAAAAAGTGATGTTGCAGGAGGGGAATTCCTGGGAAGGTGAGAGAGAGATAGGGATCCAGGGCAAACATAAAGGGGGAATGAACAAGAAATCTTGATTCACTCACAGTATAAACTGGAATGATCAAGAACTCTCTCCACTGTAACAGGTACATAGAGATAGAATGGTTTTCTTAAGGCTAAAAACTGCATAAACAATATTTACCATTTTCTCATTAAAATATGAGGCAAGAGCATCAGCTGAGAGCAGGAATCAAGAATACCTTAAAGGTATTCTAAAGCAGAACTGAAACAATTATTTCAAATCATGAAAATGTGAACATGATGAAGAAACACAGTAAACTAACAGGGAACTGCTGAAATCTGTGGTCGCCAATCCAGTTGCACCCTTAATAATTTAGACATTGGACAGGTGACTTCTTATGACAGAATGATGGATGATATTTATCAACACCAATGTTGTTGCCACTGGAATTGATAAATTGCACTTCAGAAGGCACCTTTTATGAGTCACCAACCAGCAGGCATCATAATCTACTTGAGTACAATCTGTGGCACAATGGTTCTCCAAACCCTGTATTGAGAGAGGGACCAAGCCTTTCACAACTTTGCCTCATTGGCCTTTCCCCACTTGTCCTTTCACAATCAACCTCCCTTGTTGTATCAACATTTTCCAACCAATGCCTGAGACATTACTGAGCACATTGTCTCCTGAATAACCTGTAAGGTGCTGAGTGGGTGGGTAGAGAACCTGACCCTGTTGAACACATATGAGGAGGGAGAATGTTTAGAGCACATTTTTGATGGAATCCGTCTGCCTGAGCTCTAATTTGGGCTCCACCTGTTCCTAACTAGAGGTTTTAAACAACTAATGTGACTAGTTTAACTCTTCACATCATCCTCTGTACAATAGTTATACAAATTATAACTTCTGTGATTCCATACTTAGAAAGTCACAGAGTATTCTTAGTGCTTTGTACATTTTCACACATGCAATCATCTAGAGCCCTGGTGGTAAGCATTAAAAGAGGAGCTCTTGGCACATGCGAAATGTTCCTAAGTAGTAACTACAATTTTTATGAGCATTGTTCTTGACCTGAACTTGAGCTTCTACAATGTATAATCTGGGACTGAACCCAGGACACAGGTCTGAGGATGGTGAGCACTAAGATTTCCCATGTGTTAAAGACACTTGGCTCAGCCTAAGAGGTTTTCATGTCTATTCTCATCTAATCTTCACCTAAATCCAGTACTAGTCAAAAATGCGCCCTTTCAGTAGAGGAGAAACTGAAGTTCAAAGGTATGTCACTGCCATCGGGCAGGTTTCTGTGAGGAGATAAGCATGCTGATTGACCCAAGTCCTGAGCCCAGCACTCTACACTGTAACAGTGACTTTCAACTGGGGTAACTTTTCCCCAGGGGACACTTTGCAATGTCCACAGAGACTCCTGGTTGTCACCACAGAAGGTGCTGGTAATGGCATCTAGTGGATAGAGGCAAGAGATGCTGCTAATCCTCCTACAATGGAGAAGACAGTCCCCACACAACAGAGAATTATCCAGCCCCAAATGTTAGTGTTGCCAAGGCTGAGAAACACGGTAATGTTTTAAGCAATATACCACAGAAGGCTCAGTGATAGTGACAAGTGCAAACAGGAACAAAAGAAGAAAGCGGGATTGAAAAGGGAAGAAATGAGGCAAATTGTCATATTAGGGTATGGTCATCTCCAGGTAATCTTGACGGGAGGAACCTTCAAAAGACAGTATTTACAGAGGCTAAGGCAGTGGGTCTGGAATCGGTTCAATCTGATTTTCAAAACTTGTCGTCTCCACTGACTGGCTGGGTTCATGATGGTGAACCAACTGCTAAAATACGTGGACCATGATTTCCCCCGGTGAGTGAGGGAACATCCATTATTATTACTGGTATTAAATATACACAGGTGCACAAAAATTGCTAATTCTCTACAGGAGGCAGAATAGCCTAGGCAACAATGATGCTCAAATTTTGATGCCATACAAAGTTACTCAGGATTTTATGCAAAGAGATTCTAGGACTGGGTTTTGAATGTGCATTTTAACAGCGACCCTGGATATTTGTAATAAAGCTCACAGACCACAGCATGAGAAAATGTAGGCAAGTGGAATGAACATGAGGGGCACACACACACTCATGGGGTAAAATCAGGAAGCAATAGTTACAGATGTGACTGGACCCAGAGGTAGAGACTACATTTTTGTGTGTTCTATCTTCAGGGCTGGGAAATGCATCCTAGATGCTTCCCAGGATATTTTCTGCTGGGGTCATTATCAAGAATTCAATCAAGTACCCACAACTAAAACACTCCTTTGGAAAGCAAGGCAGATTCGAGCTGCTAGTCACACTATCAGGATTTGGCCCCAAAGATGGAGAAGAACATCTTCCCTGCAGAGTGAGAAACTAAATATAAATGAGGTTGTGGTCAGCAGAGGAGAATGGGGGAATGGATATTGGGTCACAATCCAGCAATGTCTGTCAGAGTGGTGCAGTAGAGGAAGGGCTTGGAAGACAGATCAAGCTGGATTCAAGTTCTTCCTCTGTCACTTGCCTCCTAAGTGACTCCTTTTTTTGTTCATTTGTTTCTTTATTGATATTAGATTGAGAGAGGAAGGGAAAGGGAGAGAGAGACAGAAACATCAATGAGACAGAACATCGATTGGACGCCTCCTGCATGTCCCCCACTGGGGATCAGGCCCACAACCTGAGCATGTGCCCTGACCTTAAATTGATCTGGTGACCTCTTGGTGCATGGGTGGATGCTCAACAAACTATGCAACACAGGCTGGGCCTAAGTGACTTCTGCAGGTCTTCTAATTGCTTGGAAGATCAAGTTATTCTTATGCAAAATGGAAACAATGGGAATAATAGAGGTGTATTTAGGTCAAACTGGATCTCTGCATTTGTAACTAGATGGTCAATTAATATAATGCATGGTCTCTAATAAGAACCCCACAAATATTAACTAAATATATTAAGCATATTCTTGATGTCAAAGATATCAAAGCCATACAAGGGGTGAAAACTATTTTCATCCCAAACAAAGAAGACCTCCATATCCAACAGCGACCATGTAAAACAGAGGGTTAAATGTAGAGAAGTGGCCCCTTCTCTGACCTCTGCTAGCAAAGAATCCACTGGATGTAACATATTACTACATATTTGCAGTAACTATTCAAGATCTTATCTACTATAAATTCCAACCACACTAAGACTGACATAATACTCACCCATGGAATTCTCAAGAGCGATGTCAGAGTTATAGTGAGATGAACAACATATCACGTCAAGGTTTCTCACAGAAGGAGGAACTAAAGCTGGGAGTCTGTGAGTACCTGGGGTTGGCACAGGTTGCACAGCCTGCCAGCATCTATGCAGACTCACAAGGAAAGAACTGTGACCCTAGTGACTGTGAGTCTAGTGCTTTCGTCACTGTGCAAAGCTGTCGCCCATCTTCTGTTGTTGTTGTTATTGTTGTTGCTATTTTTCCTTTCTTATTAATTTTAGAAAGAGGGGAAGTAAAAGTGAGAAAGATAGAAACATCGATGACAGAGAACATCGATTGGACACTTCTGCATGCCCCACTGGGGATGGGGCCCACAACCTAGGCATGTGTCCAGGCCGGGAATCAAACTGACAACCTCTTACCACATGGGTCAATGCTCAACCACTGAGCCACACTGGCTGAACCATCTTCTGCTGTTTATACAGCCTCAGCTCACAATTCAGCTGATGGACAAGAGCCTTGTCATCTTATTATTGGTTAATTAACCAGTCTAATATGTGTAATGTATATTAATAATTATGGGAATATGGAGAACTATCCTTTTCCAATGGAACAGCCAAGAGTCTGACAAATGTATGGTGATAGCCACAAGGCTCAGTAGAGTGGGTATCCTCTTTGGAGAGGAAGCTATAATGGAAGATGATATTGGACTGAATAGACATGATATAAGATAATATCAGAGCTAACAAATTCCCTTTGTTGAAATGTCTCAGGTATGGGCTAGATGGAAACCAACTTGTCCATTTCTCTCAATGGATCTCATGAGATCTTCATGGAGTCCACTGTGGACACTGCTCTGCAAATCACCTCACTGGTGGCTCAAGGGATCACCTTTGTGCTCGGCATCCTAGGCAACGGGCTGGTGATCTGGGTGGCTGGATTCCGGATGGCACGCACAGTCACCACCTTGTGTTACCTGAACCTCGCCTTAGCTGACTTCTCTTTCATTGCCACTCTACCGTTCCTCATGGTCTCAACAGTCATGAAGGAACAATGGCCTTTTGGCTGGTTCCTATGCAAGTTAATTTACATCGTTGTGGACATTAACCTGTTTGGAAGTGTCTTCCTCATCGCTTTCATTGCTCTGGACCGCTGTGTTTGTGTCCTGCACCCAGTCTGGGCCCAGAACCACCGCACTGTAAGTTTGGCGAAAAAAGTGATCATCATACCCTGGATTCTTGCACTTCTTCTTACATCGCAAATTTTCCTGTTCATGACCATAGTGAGGGATCCAATAGGGAATACATACTGTAATTTCAACTTTGCCTCGTGGGGTAACACCACTGAGGAGAGGTTGAAGGTCGCCATCACCGTGCTAACAACCAGAGGTATCATCCGGTTTCTCATTGGCTTCACTATGCCAATGTCCATTGTCGCCATCTGCTATGGGCTCATTGCTGCCAAAATCCGCAAAAAAGCAATGATCAATTCCAGTCGTTCCTTACGGGTCCTCACTGCTGTTGTGGCCTCCTTCTTTGTGTGTTGGTTTCCCTTTCAACTGATTGCTCTTCTGAGCACAGTTTGGCTCCGAGAGATGCTTTTGGAGGGAAAGTACAAAATCATTAATACGCTGGTATACCCAACGGAGTCACTAGCCTTCTTCAACAGCAGCCTCAACCCAATGCTCTATGTGTTCATGGGCCAGGACTTCCGAAAGAGACTGATCTCCTCGTTGCCCTCCAGTCTGGAGAGGGCCCTGACCGAGGACCCAGTCCCAACCACTGACACCACAACAAAATCGGCTTCACCTCCTGTAGAGGCTGAGTTACAGGCAATGTAAGGGAAGTTGGGGGTGCATTTTTCGCTCTGCCTGCTCCTATCCTGTGCATGGTTCCACCTTTATGTTACTTTGGGTCATACTGAGCCACTCATCATGAAAACTACCTTGGTGACCTCAGAATGGTGTGAATAAATGGACATAAGGGTTTTCTATTTCTGTTATTTTTGTCTTTGCCACCACAGCATGCACCCTGGGGTGAGTGGAGGTGGCAAGAGTGCAAGTGGAGAGAAGAGAAAAAGTGATGGGAAATCTGTAAATCTCAGATAAGAGTACATTAGAATAATAACTGGTATTTCACCATGAAGTAAGATGTTTGGCATAGATTGTTCTTTGCTTTTTAAAAATCTGACCCCAGAAGTTTCTTACTACTATTTTACTAATGGTTTTCTTCTTTTCTAAATATAAACAACTTTTAGATTGTATCAAATGCATGTTTTGCCTATATTAAGATGATCATATTATTTTTACCACATCATTTACATCATCATAAACTGTATTCAATTTTTTTAATGTTGAACTATCCTTGTATTCCTAGAATAAAGCACACTTGGTTATAAAATACCTTAAATATATACAATTTCTTATTCTCACTAGATTGGTGTGGAGTTTCTGCAGTTATATTTACATCCAAAGATGTAAAAAGAGATGAGAAGTGAGTCCTTCAATTCTATCTCGGGGTGTTAAATCTTTTACAAATGTTTTAAAATTTTCACCAGGGAACCCAAGTGAATCTTGGGCTTTCTCTATGAGAAGACTTCTAAACAGGTTCAATATGTTTAATCATTATCAGACTATTCAGATTTTCTATTTCCTCTTCTCTCACTTTTGGTTACCTGTGACTTTTAAGCATTTAGCCATTTTATGCAATGCTCATATTTATTGGTATGAAACAGTTGATAACAGTGTACTATACATGGTATGCTTATCTTTACATAATTAGAATGTAACCCATCTGAGGGCAGGGTTTGGCCATTATTCATGAATGGATCCCAATACCATATATGTAAAATAGTGCCTGACATGTGATAGACACCTAATAAGAGATTATATAATTAATGAATCAATAAATAATAGTATCACTGAAGTGTCAACCTTTACTATCTGTGCTGAATTCTGAATCTATCATTAACTGGGCCCTGTTTATTGATTTCTCTCTCCCATTCCCAGGATTTTTGCAAATCCTCCAGTGGTTTATATTTTTATGAACACCTCAGACTTTGACTTTTGGCAAATAAACTACTTAGGCTAACTTTTGACTGATGTCTTTGCTATGAAATAAATCTATCTGCAGTCACACACAGACTTTATCTTGGTTTCTGTAAATAATCACACATTTCATCTAATCCCATAACATCCCGATGCACTGGCAAAAGATGAACTCAAAATAAATATTCAAATGCCAAAACAAAAACAAAAACGATTTGGTCTTAGTCCCTTGTTCTTTCACAAGGTTAAACACTTGTAATTTTGTGCATGATAAAAATGTCTTTTTACTCACCAGTCATCCCTTCGTTTCATGCCAGAATTTATGCTAATGAGGTGAGTTATGGTGGTCCCTAGGTACACTCAGTGAGACCAAAATATTAAAGCTTCGAAAATTTCAGCTCAAAACACTGACCTCTAGAAATGGGCGTGGGAATGTGCTGAATATTAAGCACTACAAAAACTCTTGAACAATAAGATTTGATGAGCTTCTAGGTTGCAGAACACACCAAGGTGTTGAGAGGGCAGTTTCTGCAGAGAGAACATGAAAACTATGTGCACACACATCCCCTCATATCTTGTCCTGTACATGTCTTCGATGTGGCTGTTCAGGAGTTGTATTCTTAATAATGAGTTGTTAAACATAAGTAAATTCCTTCCTGAGTTCTGGGAGCCATTCCAGCAAACCATCTACCTGAGGATGGGGCTGTGGAAACGCCTCATTTATAGCTGGTCAGTCATAGTATAGTTGGCATCCTGGGACCCCAAAGTGGCACCTGAAGTTGGGTAGCCTTACAGCACTGAGCCCTTTATGGTGTAGGAGTTGACCCTAATTCCAGGTAGACCCTAATTTCATTTGAATTGAATTGTAGAACACCTTATTCAGGTCCAAGATTGAAGTTTTTGTTTTTTTGTTGTTTTGTTTTGTTTTTTGTATAGAACAACTCCACATATGGTACCTGAAGTATTGTTTGAGTCCAGAAACAAGTTTTTGTTCAACCATTAACTGTGTTTATTGCTCACCTCCATCTTCTCACCTCAATACTTGTTTTAGTTTTTCCTGAATCTCTGAAAGAAAGAGTCCCAATACCCAGCATCCTAGATGCTTAATGTTTATTGGATTGAACTGCAGTCTCCCACAGCTGGTGGGAGGTGAGGGGAGTATTCGACCTTAAGGTTCTAAAAGGAGTGAGCTGGTAACATATCCAGAGTGCTCTATGGGAGTTGCAGAAAGCACTGAGTGACTGATTGAGCCACACTGTCCCTCCCCCAAGTCCTTTGAAAGCATCTGCTGAAACCCTCCAGCCTGGGTTGCCCATAGGAAGCCAGGAACTGGGCACAGGAACAGGATCTCAGCCGGTGATAAATTGGAAGCCTAATAATTTAAAAATTGTTATTAGAACATCTTTTCTGCAACAGATACCTCCTGAACTCTAGGGCTGGGTTTTTCAATAAGAATCCACTTGCCATTAGAATTATTGAGTTCTTGCTAGTCTGTCCTGAGAGGTGCTGTAGTCAAAATTAATTTACTATATTCAAAGACTTTGTATGAAAAAGGAATGCAAAATATCTCAATAAAAATTCTTGGATTGCTTATGTTCGAGTGATATTCTCTATGTGTTGAGTTAAATAAAATATATTATTAAAATTAATTGATAGTTTATTAAAATTAATTTTACTTTTAAAAACTGTCACAGATGAGGCTCATATTTGTGGTCCTATTGGACAGCAATACTATAGAGCAGCAATTTTCAACCCTTTTTATCTCATGGCACACATAAACTAATTACTAAAATTCCACAGCACACCAAAAAATAAAATATATTTTTTGCCAATCTGACAAAACAGAGGCGGCATTTTATTCATTCCCACCAGACAGCTATTGTTATATTGTCTGTTGTCAATTTTTCATGTGACCACCGAAGGGAAAAGGGGTCAGTTCTCCTGACCCAATAGTCAGGCATTGCATGTTTTAAACATTCTTGTGGCACCCTAGTTGGAAATAACTGCTATAGAGAGATAGCACTAAAAGACTTGGTCATCTTCTGTAGCATAGGTACTAATTTGGAATGTATTTAGAATACATAAAAAACAAATAAATGGACAAATAAACAAGAACAGTCCTTGGTGAGATAGGCTGTTCCTGGGATAATGGCTTTGCTTTGTGGGTCAGGACGGTCCTCTCTGAGAATACAATATCTAAGCTGAGATAGATAAAGATCTACATATGGAAAGCTTAATGGGAAGGGCACAGTAGGCAGAAGAAGCAGAGAATGCAAAAGCCCTGAGATGGTCAGGAGCTTGGCATGTTCAAAAAAATAAAAGGAATTCAGTGTGGACCCATCACAGTGTGTGAAAGGACAGCAGATATGTGAGGTCTGATGGGTACGTAGGGCAGATTCCAAAGAATTCAGTGAGTTTGAGTTAGGAGTTTGGAAGCCACTAGAGGATATTCAGCAGAATGCTGTCATGGTATGACTTGTGTTGCTAAAAGATTATCTGGCTTATGTCTAGAGTATGGATTATGGGGCAGCATCAGAAGGAAGACCAAAAAAAAAAAAAAGCCCTGGCCAGTTTGGCTCAGCAGTTAGAACACTGGCCCGGCCCTGGCCGGTTTGGCTCAGCGGTTAGAGCGTTGGCCTGCGGTCCGGAGAGACCCGGGTTCGGTTCCCGCTAAGGGCACGTACTTCGGTTGTAGTTTGTCCCCGGCCCTGGTTGGTCGTGCGGGTGGCAGCCACTCGATGTGTCCCTTCACGTCGATGTTTCTCTCTCTCTCTCCCTTCCTCTCTCTCCCTCCCACTCTATCTGTACAAAAAATGGAAAAGTATCCTCGGGTGAGGATAAAAAAAAAAAAAAGAACATTGGCCCGCTGACCAGAGTGACCCGGGTTTGATTCCTGCACTGGTTGGGGTTGTGTCAGTGCAACCAGTCAATGTGTCTTTCTCGCATTGATGTTTCTCTCTCACTCTCTTCTTCCCTCTCTTCCTCCTGCTCTATCTGAAGATAAGTGCAAAAATGTCCTCAGGTGAGGATAAAAAGAAAATTTTGTAAATGCAGCCAGGAAAGAAAGGGCCATGGACAAGGGTAATGGTGATAAACTGATTGCACGTGTGGACCAAGTTGCTTTGTAAATAGAATTAATTGACTTGAATTGGATAGTCATGGAAAGTGATTTCAAGGACGACTGAGACTTGGAGACTTAACAACTGAGTGCTTAAGCTCCAAACAGACACAGAATACTGAGAATGGCAGATTTAGGAGGATGGAAGAATGGAGAGTTTGGTTTATGCAATGTGGGTTTTCAGAGGATGAAAACATAGCAAATTGGACTGATCAGGTGGCCTATTGAGCTATAAAGACAACCAAGAGTGTGTCTTGTGAACATTTTATCAACTAAAGGCATAAGATAATATGTTTTAAAATGAAGGAAGTGTTCTAAGAGACACGTGTCCCCAAGTTACCAGGGTAAAACCTGACAAGGCACCACTGAAGTGGTGACATGGAGGCCACAGGCATCATTAAGAAGAGCACCATCTATGGAGTGTTCAGGATCCAAGTCAACTTGCTGTGAGTTCAGGAGAAAAGTTGAGGTGACAAGTGGAGACACTGACTTCTAGTGGTGGGCTGTGAATCTTCTTCACTGAAAGATTGTCTTGAGAGAACATGGCTGAAGCTGGAAATGAACATGAGCCAAGGGCCATTTCTTTGTGATGGGGGAGGATATGACTATGGTGTGTGATAGAATGATCTAGTAGAAAGAAAATCTTGAAGATGTTTTAACAAAAAAAAAAGAAAGTGATGTCGCAGGAGGGGAATTCTTGGGAACATGGGAGAGAGGGATCCAGAGCAAACATGAAGGAGAATGAACAAAACCCCTTGATTCACTCACTGTATAAACTAGAATGATCAAGAACTCTATCCACTGTAACAGGTAACTCTATCCACTGTAACAGGTACAGAGAGATTGAAGGGTTTTCTTGAGATTAGGCTAAAAAGTGCATAAACAGTAATTACCACTTTCTCATTAAAATATGAGGCAAAGACATCAGCCGAGAGCAGGAATCAAGAAAACCTTAAAGGTTTTCTAAAGCAGAACTGAAACAATTATTTCAAAGATGAAAATGTGAATGTGATGAAAAAAC